CCCCCCCATTTCCCCACTTCCCTCCCCACCAATCCCCGGCCCCACCCCCCCGCCCCCCCCCCCCACCCCCCCCCTTCCTCTCTATCTCTCTCTCTCTCGTTTTTAAAACCTCGCCGCCTCCCCTCTTTCCCCTTCCCTCTCTTCTTTCCACCTTATCGCCTTCGATGTCGATCTGATCTCCGCACCAGTTCAGCATCTCCTTTTCTCGATCTTGCAAGATCGAAGGGATTGATTCCCTCAGGTAATCGCCGTTCAATTTTCTGTTCTCTCGTCGAGTCTTGGTTTTCGTCATCGAAACTAGAGATTCATCTGTTTTCTTGATGCTGATCCATGGGTTCTTCCTTAGGGTTTCGCTTTGTTTGGGTTCTTTGGTTGGATTCTTTCAAAGTGAGTTGTACTCCGATCAGATTGGGCTGGAAATTGGTTTGCTTTGTTGTGTGTGGGGAGTTTTAGGGGAAGAGACATGTGGGCTATAGACGCGGAGGGTAATGGTTTCTTGACGCCGACCCGATACGTTCCTGATTAGGGTTTCGGTTTGTTAGGGGATTTGATTGATTTCTTTCATAGAAACGAGGTGTCTTTTAATGATCGAACTATTTCTTTGGTTGTCATTAGTTATTTGGTCTACTTTCTCGTCGGTCGGGGCTTTGTTGGAGAAGAGACATGTGGCTGTAGAAGCCGAGGGTAATGGTTTCTTGATGCCGATCCGATAGGTTCTTGATTAGGATTTTCGGTTTGTTAGCGGACTTTTGCGTGGAATTCTTGATTCCATTCTCTGAAACGAGGTGTCTTGCAATGATCAAACTGTTTCTTTGCTTACGATGATGTTTTGGTAGTTTCAGACTGAAACTGGTCTACTTTCTTTTAGGGGTGGGGTGGGGTGGGGTGGGGTGGGGGGTTGTTGGACTAGAGGAATGCAGCTATAGAAGCGGAGGGTGATGGCCCAAGCTGCAGTTGTTGAATCTACCTCCAATTCTTTGCCACCTGGGGCAGCCAATTCTGGTATGACGAAGAAGAGGAAGACCCCTTCAGAACTCAGGGTAAATTTCTTTCACAACCCTCCATTTTTATTCTTGTATAGCATTATGCCATGAAAAAAAAAAAGAGAAGACATTCACATGTATACCTCAAGCCGATTATTACCATAGATCTCAAAGTTTAAGTTGCGGATATTATTGCTAATATTCTTTCTTTAGCGGTGTCATCGTCAACCAGGATTCTTTATGCTTCTAGTATTTTCTGTATCATCTCAGTTGAACATACGATATAGAACTTGATCCATTTACTAGATGCAGAAATATAGTGGCTTGGGTTTAATTGAAATATTAGTGAAAAAAGGGATACTGCCAATTAATATATGAACCAAAAGTGATACTGCTGGCTGGAAGGGGTTAGTATCATATACCTACTGGAGAGATGAAAGTAGGAACCTCTAATTACACTGCAGAAATTATGGCAGTTGGCTTCACTGGCCATTCAAATTAGATGATTGATTTAGCACTCATTAGAACAAGATGGAGCTGTATATAGCTGTATATTACTATTCGTTTGCTATTTGCTACAGCCAAATTTCACTTTTTTCTTTGTCTCCTGCCATTCTTACAATATTTGTTGTTCATCACCATATAACGCAGACTAAGGATACAGTGAGAGAAAAGAAGTAGAACATAACCCTTAATTTCAAATAAGGACGATTACATAAAGGAGTTATCTTGAGATGCAAAATTGTACTAAAACATTTGCTCTCATTACATTTATGTTTAAAAATATCCTTAGCATTACCCCACACATCAATTGCATGGTGATTAGAAAATCATTGGGGCCATAGAAGGACCAATTGATACAATCAAAATTGGAAGTGTAGAAGTTTTGAGTCTTTTATATAATGTATATAATGGTTATCTAAGACATATATGTATGATATATATAATATATATGTTTATTAGATAAACCATTATATATACATATGTCGGGACAAGTATAGCTTAACTATTCTTTTATGATTTGTTCATTATTTTTCAGACTTTCTACTGCTTATATTTCAATTTAATGTGTCTCTCTGGAAAGCTAGATATCTTATGTAATATGTTGGGTATAAGAATATTTTAACACGATATAATTTTATGCTCTTAATTTTTTTAATGTTCTATAATCTTTTGCTTTTTAAATTAATAATTTGATCTTTTAAGCTATTTCCTCAGCTAATTCTGATCTCGCTGATCCAATCTAATTGATTTTGTCCATCTCCATTGCATTCTTCATAACTCATTCCCATGGTGGTACCAATGTTGCAAGTATGACCAGGTCTTCATGGAAAATCTTCATTATATAGTCCCTATTGGTTATTTTGTATTTTCCAACTCATGTTTCTGCAGAAGTAATCACATTACTAGAATGCTGATGTTACACTTGGTAAAATAGGCTTAGTGCTCTTACCTGATGCAGCTTGGGAATCAAGATTTATCTTAATGAATAACAAAATGTCATGCTATAAATTTTCTAATTTTGACCTCTGAAAAGGTTGCAGTGGCTATCTGTTAAAGGTTTTATTTTATAAAAAATGGTGTGGCATAATGCTTAATAGGATTTAAATTGGAAGTAAATATGACATTGTAGAGTGGTGGATGAAGGAAATGGCTAAGTTTAATGTTTGATTGATACAGGGGACATAAGTTGCAGAAATGAAGCACATGATATATCTATGTTCTAGGAAACAAGTAGCAGTGATGGTGATTCAGGATATCTTGCAGTGTTTAGTTCTCAATATGGTCAAACAATGGAATAAATAGTTATTTAATGTTGAACCTCATGACATTTTTGATTGAGAATTGAAATAGTTCACTGATATTAATTGCCATGCATATGTGGCAGGGGGAACAGTTGAAGCGGAGGAATGCTCAGGTGATTGGTGAAAAAACCTTGCCTCCTTTGCTGGCCTCAGACAGGTAGATTAATATCAGTCATGTATTTTCTTTTACATCACTTTGCTGACTGTTTGGTGCATGTTTGGTAGTGTAAAGAGTAATGCGATCAGGAGAAGTGAACAATTAAAAATTCCAAGGTACATTACTACGCGTGTCAATGAGGTCTATCCTGTTAAAAAGTCAAGTGAGAGATGCAGAGTATTTAATGGAGATGAGAAGGCCAAGGTTGGAAAGTTGTTGAATTATGTTTTTCATGCTCTAATATTGAAGTATTTTTGTGATGGGAGTTCTTCTGACTAATGTGGTGTTTATTTTAACTCTCTAAAACAGGTGTCTTCCACTATCAGTGGATTTTCTAATGATGTTCCTAGTCCTGCTGCTTCTTTACCAGCAGAGGGCGAACCATCGATTTTGCGGTGTTCCTTTGATCTACTTGGGGCTAACCCAATATGAATATTTTTTGCTCGCACTGTTATATTATTATTTTAATGGTGGTAATTTTTTCCCCCTTGATTGCAGTGAAAATCCTAGCCTCATTAACAAATCTGAAGGATCTGACCAATCTGCCAGAGACATAAGTGAACAAGGTTTTCGGACGATTGAAAAGTGTAGCCAAAATGTGTTGCGCAATGTTGTTCAGCTTCATATGGGAGATGAGAATCTTACCAATTGTGCCAAAATTGATATGGTAGATTTTCCCCAGATGTTGGTACTCTTTTTGGTTTGTGATGCAAAGTCTTATTTTGCTATCATTGCATGGTTTGTTGATCGAATATGTTTGCTAGGAAAAAGCACTTAGAGGGTTGGTAGCTCGTGAAATTCCTTCTACCTCAGTTTCATTGGCTGTCTCTTCTGGAAAAGTTGGTGGTTTTCCTACGAATTCTTCAAGCAGTTCTTTTTCTGAATTTGAGATTCCAGGTTCAAGAGTACCTTTTGATTTTACCTTAAAAACCACTCTGCGGTTGGTTTCGTCGTCCTCAGTGAAATGGTGAGTGCTACAATGCTTCTTTCTTAACTAACACTAGTTTGAGAGATGGGATTTGGAGTTGGTTTGTCCTGAATTTTCTCTTTCATAATAGCTGATAAAGGTAGTCGAAGCTGATTCAATAGACAGTTATCTGTATCCAATTCTCTTGGTTACTTAACAATTCTGGAAGTATAATGTTGTCCATATAGCTTATGCAGGTGCTTCAATATTCCTGTCTCTATTTTCTTCGTAAATATATGTATGCCTTAACTCTATGTTGTAGATGTGGCTGTCATGGTAATGCTTATTTTGGTCTTTGCATCGTGTTAATGTAGCTGTGGTTTTCTATCTTTTTCAGATATTATTTATGTAATTGTTATATTTAAGGGCTTTGAATTTTGTTTCATCTTGACTGTGAGATGAAAATACTTTGTACTTTGGAGTTCGGTCACTTCATATTCCAGTTTAAGGGAAGATTGAGGATTTTACTTCATGGTCTCATAAAGCTTAAAATATGATGAATATGTAAAAGTACCAGCCAAAGAGGCTTTTAGGTTTTTCAGGTTTGTTTCTCACTTGCCTAATTCTGCTCTTGCTGAGAAATTACAACTTTGTTTAGAGGATTAGTGTTAAATTTAATGTTGATTGCTAAGTATGCTCGATCTTTTTGGTGCTGTAAGTTTTGGGTAATGTTCATGTGCAACCTTTATGCGCGATTGGTATGCCTTGCCATTTGTTCCCTCTTGGTCTTCTTGAATGGTTGAGAAGCAATATTCTCCTTGTTTTCAGAAGCATTTTCACTTGTCTAAAGTCAACATGTGTAACCAATTGTTCTGAAGTCTTTTAATTGGCAATTGTTTGAAGTTGTGTCATGTTAGGATACTGTGTAAGTTTGACACTCTACTATTGACTACTGTCTTCAAAGGAAAACTGTTTAACTTTAAATTGCTATTTTTATTTGCAGGTGCCACAGATTATGTGCAAGTCCTGCTGCC